TTTAAACCAATCTCCTTTATGGATTTCACTCTATTGTGTGGTTTCTGTTTTGCTGATTGGATCTGAACTGACATATAGATAAACTGAGCTCTCAAGAAAGTAAGAAAAATCCCCAGGAACCAAAAACAAAGAATTAGTGAGGAGGATTGAGTGAGCTGATGACATAGCTGTCCTAGCAGTGTATGGAATTTATAACACCCTCATAGGTTCAGAAGACAGATCTTGAGTCCACAAAAGGCACTGAGATCCCTGTGCAGAGGCAAGACTCTTAAATTTATACTAAGATAATAAACTAGGAAAAAAAAATCTGTCCAGAGAGAAATAAAAAAGCTTGCCTTGCTCACTTAGTGAGATAGGAGGGAAAAACCTTCTAGGAATTCAAAACAGGCTGGGTGAAGTAGTTCATGCCAGTAATCCCAGCACACTGGGAGGCTGAGGTCGGTTGATTGCTCGAGCCCAGGAGTTTGAGACCAGCCTGGGCAACATGGCAAAACCCTGTCTCTACAAAAAATATAAAAATTTGCTGGGTATGGTGGTGTGCACCTGTAGTCCCAGCTACTTGGTAGGCTGAGGTGGGTGGATTGCTTGAGCCCAGGAGGCAGAGGTTGCAGTAAGCCAAGATCCTGCAACTGCACTCCAGCCAGAGCAACAAAGCCAGACAGATCCTATCTCAAAAAATAAAATAAAATAAAATTCTAGAAAGCAGAAATTAATCTGTAGTGAAAAACAAACAAACAAACAATCAATCAGTGGTTCCTGGTATCAGAGTGAAAGGAAAAATGGACTGTAAAGTATGAGAGACAGGCGCAGTGGCTCATGCCTGTAATCCCAGCACTTTGGGAGGCCGAGGAGGGCGGATTACCTGAGGTTGGGAGTTCAAGACCAGCATGACCAACATGGTGAAACCCCGTAGCTACTAAAAATACAGAATTAGATGGGCATGATGGCACATGCCTGTAATTCCAGCTACTCAGGGGACTGAGGCAGCAGAATCGCTTGAACCTGGGAAGCAGAGGTTGCAGGGAGCTGAGACTGCACCACTGCACTCCAGCCTGGGGAACAAGAACAAAACTCCATCTTTAAAAAAAAAAAAAA